GTCATCCCACAATGTCTGTGGTTTTCAGTCACTGGTGTTCAGTGCATCAAATCTGTTCTTTAGATGGTCTCTAAATTCAGGAGGGATGTAATCAAGGTCATATTTTGGCTCTGGTGGACTTGTTTTAATTGTCTTCAGCTTCAACTTGAACTTGCATATGAGCAGTTGATGGTCTGTTCCACAATCAACTCCTGGCCTTGTTTTGGCTGAAGATATTGAGCTTCTCTGTCGCCTCTTGCCACAGACATAGTCTATCTGAGTCCTTTGTACTCATCTGGTGAAGTCCATGTGTATAGCTGCCATTTGTGTTGTTGGAAAAAGTTATTTGCAGTGAATAAGTCGTTGGTCTTGCAAAATTCTATCATGCGATCTCCAGGGTTATTTCTATCACCAAGGCCATATTTTCCAACTACTGGTGATTCTTCTTTTGTTTCCAACTTTTGCATTACAACTACCAGTGATAATCAACACATCTTGATTGCATGTTGTATCAATTTCATACTGCAGAAGTTGGTCAAAATCTTCCATTTCCTTGTCTTTGGCTTTGGTGGTTGGTGTGTAAATTTGAATAATAGTATTTATTAACTGGTCTTCCTTGTAGGTGTATGGATATTATCCTATCACTGGTAGCATTGTACTTCAGGATAGATCTTGAAACACTCTTTGTGATGATGAATGTCATGCCATTCCTCTTTAATATTTCATTCCTGGCATAGTAGAACATATGGTTGTCTTACTCAAATGGCCAAAACTCTATTTGACCTCACTAATGCCTAGATGTTGATCCTAATGTGTTCCATTTCATTCTTGACAACTTCTAATTTTCCTACATTCATACTTCGTACATTCCATGTTCCGATTATTAATGGATGTTTGCAGCTGTTTCTTCTCATTTTGAGTCATGCCACATCAGCAAATGGAGGTCCCAAAAGCTTTATTCCATCCACATCATTAAGGTCAGCTCTACTCTGAGGAGGCAGCTGTCCTGCAGTCATATTTTGAGTGCCTTCCAACCTGAGGGGCTCATCTTCCAGCACTATATTGGACAATGTTTTAGTGCTATTCATAAAGTTTTCCAGTAATATATCAGACACTGTTTCACTGCTATTCATACACTTTCCAGTGGCCAATTCTTTGAGGAGTTGATGGCTCCTTCCTTCTTCCAAGCCTGTCTTAGTCTGGAAGCACATTTGAAGTACCAGTAGCATAGCCTTCAGCCTTACAGCAACACACAAGCCACCACAGTACAACAAACTGACAGAAGAGTAGTGGAAGACCATAATTTTCCATATGTAGACCACAGCTTTGAATAACACAACCTGAAATGGTTCCTGGGCTACTTGTTAAAATTCTATCTCTCAGTACAGGGTAGGATGAGACAGTGAATGAATCTCAGGAATCTCATTTGTAACAAGCCCAGGTAATTCCTTGGCACACTGAAACTGTACACAGCATTTTAGGCAGTGAAATGGTTTTTATATAAGCAAGCTGTGTAATTAAATACTTAATGTGTGAATCCTTCATTAGATTTTAAACTCCCTGGCAGTAAGGATTGTGACTGCTTTGTTGATCTCTATTACCACATGTAGTAAAGTGTCATGCCAAAAAAAAAAAAAAACTTACCTTCATCGACTCGATTCCAACTCACAATCACCCCCATTGGGTTTTTAAGGCAGTAAATCTTTATGGAAGCAGATTGCCCAGTCTTCCTTCTATGGAGTTGCTGATAGGTTTGAACTGTCAACCTTCTGATCAGCAGGCAAATGCCTTAGGCACTGGCTGCCAGAGCTCCTTAGTAAAGTGCCTATCTACTGCTTTTTTCTCAATAAATGTCATTGCAAATGAATCACTAAAGCTGGAGTTTAGAAGAGAGATTAATTAATAGAATTTAGAGTTAATAGATTTAGAAGTTACCTGCAAATGAAAGCAAGTGTAAGTCTGATATACCTAAGTTTTAAATAAGAAAACTAAAAATCTTAAAAACTGTATTAGAATGCAGCTGCTTGGTCCTACTACAGTTGATGAAGATTGAGGTAACACATATGTTTTGTAAAAACATCCC